GAGAATAACAAGTTTTATTCAGGAAAGTTTGGTCGTGGCACAGGGGTGTTCCAAAACTGTTACAATAGACGTTTAATATGTATTCTATCATTTTATATCAACATATCAAGCCTATCCCTAAATGAAAGTTTGGTCGTGGCACGGGGTGTTCCAAAACTGTTACAATAGATGTTTAATATGTATTCTATCATTTTATATCAAGATATGAAGCCTATTCCTAAATGAAACAACAGTAAAGATTCTTCATTGGGAACAGTGTTCATATGTAATCACAATATTCTGTACACTAACACGTATTTAACTTAAATCGCTAATTTCGTATGTTGAAAGAGAGAGAAATAAAAGCAAGAAAAATGATTCAGAGGTGAAAGGTGATATTATTTTATAATAGTTAGTCAGTTTCTCCTGTTCCTGTTGGAACACAGAGTAACGAAAGACCTCCACTTTTCCCTGTCAGATGCAACATCACTGGCCTCCTCCATTTCATATTCAACTGCTGTAAATCTTCTGTAATGGTGTTACACCAGGTCTTTTTTTTTGGATGTCCACATTTGTTATTGTCTCCATGATGGTACCCAGTCCAGGGGTGTTTTAGCATGTCGACTGTCTGGAAGTCCGATGAGTTTCAATCTAAACTCTGTCGTAATGTCCTCAAGTTACCTCTGTCTGCTTCATCTAAGCTTTTCTGAATAAAACTTAAAATCTTCAATGTGACTCAAGTGAAACTTTGTTCCACCTGGACAAGTTGTTTTTGTGAAATGGTTATTTTAAATATGGAGTTTCGTTAACCTGTATTATAAAAGTAATGGAATATAACTGGAACATACTGAATATAACCAACCTGAGCTAGGAGTTTTAAAGACAGACTTTCCAATCGGAGAAACTGAAGGTGGAGATAAGGTGAAACCGGCCACATTGAAAGGTATACTGCAGTTTTTGGGTGTGATGGGACTTGAAGAAAACTGGGTCTGTTGTATACCAAAAAAAAACAGATTATTATTAAATGGTGTAAAAATGTAGACAGACACTGTATTATATTTAAGGAAGAACTAACTGTCCATACACTTGTTATTCAAAAGAAAGCCTACAATGAACAACATCAAAGAGGAGGAGTATCCAACTTCAAATTACAGCCTTGTTTTTATACTATTCACATACAGTGTTCACAAACTTTTTGGCCATCATCGATCACTTCAGCAAGGGCAAAAAAACTCATTAGTGACTTCCATTGTGGACTTGCCCGTGGACCATATTTTAAGAACCACTGCTCTATGATATTGAGTAATTTTAAGCCTTTTGGTTCGTGCAGAACTCAGTGTTAAGAACTGACCAAAAACAATCGGGTGAAATCGCTTGTTTTCTATATTCAAAATTTAGAGGACCATAGTAACCTTTAGTTGGGTTAATTCCAACATTGATGGGACTTCTGTTTACATTTGTTTTGTGTGTTATTAACTCTTTAAACCAGTAATGTTTGGTGTGTTATTAACTCTTTAAACCAGTAATGTTTTGTGTTATTAACTCTTTAAACCAGTAATGTTTTGTGTGTTATTAACTCTTTAAACCAGTAATGTTTTGTGTTGTTAACTCTTTAAACCAGTAATGTTTTGTGTGTTATTACATCTTTAAACCAGTAATGTTTTGTGTGTTCTGCTGGAATTATTTTCACGATGTCCTAATAATTATCATCATACCTTATAAAACTTCTGGTCTATTTATAAATGGTGGATAATATCATGGTTTAGATTAGTTTTCAGCCAAAGAGACGTAAACATTATTAGATGCACCTGCTCAGGTTTAAGGACAGTCAGGAATCAAGAAGTAATTTGGAAAAACGTGGTTCAAAACTAAATGCAGTCTATAATAATTTTAAGTTTAAGCATAATTCATTAAATTCTTGACTTTTACATATTTCAAAATAGGAAACTAATAGAAATACCAACCAACTGGTTGCCATGAAGCAGAGTAAATGACAAATTTTTAATGAAATAATGAAGAACAATAAAGAATTACTTAAAAGATGAACTGGACGATTTGTTATATATTGTTATATATATATATTGTTATATATATTGATTGTTATATATAACTGTTATATATTTATTACGAGTCAAGTTGATGATTTTTCTATAAAGTTTTGTGGAATTTACAGAAGAAAAAAACATTTTTAAATCTCATACATTTCTTTATACTGTGACACCTCCAGTTATTTCCACACTTACATATAAAATATATTTGAGCTTTTGGAAGTCATTTTTGAAATGGACTGGTACATTACAATTTGAATGCACAAAATGGGCTAACGCCATGTTAAAACTGTTTTAATAACAGGCTGTCAGTCCTATTCTTAATGTACTCAATGGTTCAGCATTAAGCCTGCAGGCTTAGAGCACTAAAAGGTGGGGGTTCGATACCTGTGGGCACAGCACAGATTGGCCAATGCACAGTTTTGTACTTAAACAAATTAAACTTTTCTTAAGAAAGAATCCTGCTACTTAATTTAGTTTCATGTATAAGAGACACTTATAAAACAATGCTTTCATGATCTCTTTATTACAAGCTTCATTCATCACGTATTCTAAATTTTGTGCGTGACTTTTATCTCACTAATTTAATGTATAACATTACTTTTGTCATGAACAAGATTAAATGTCAAATATATAATGAAATAATTACCCCTGGAGTATGGGCATTACTGAAATCCTGTTTTTCTGGAGTACAGCAGTTTCCTGGTGAGGTAGTTGAAAACCCAATCTTCTCGTTCTTCCTGCTTATTGGTGAGATATGAAAGTAGGTTTAGCAGCTAATTATTTAATTCACAATAAAATGTAAAACAAGGCTGGAAATAAAACAAGTTTGGGAAAGATCTAATTAACTCTTGGAAATCAAACTCACGGAATCAGTTCACCCTTTCTTTTCTTACGTTATTTATAAAGATGTATACAAGGTAGCAGGTCTCTTGAAAACGTACGGAAGAAATGTACATTCCAACATTACTTTCTATCTTGACAGTGCACTGTAAACACATGTGAATAAGATTGAAACGAGTCAGCTCAAAGAAATAAATTTCACTGAGGGAACTGCTGTTGCTACTGTTACTGCAGTGACTGAAAAAAATATTATTATTCTGCATCAGAGTCCTGTCACTTTTGGCCCACCCTGTACTTTACCTGAACAGT